CCTGAATTAAGCCTGAATGCCTTCCACATCCCCCCCCCAGGCGCTGTATAATCCTCCGGGTTTAGCGCTTCCCCCTTGATTATAATAATAATAATAATAATAATTACAATTTTCAGTATGACTTCTTCTCATAACTTATCAATCATTTATGAATGCATCTAAGGGTAGTTGTTAGAAATTATTAAACTCGGTGTACAAAGTAGTATATCGATGGTAATAAAAATAATAATATAGCTCTGGGGCACTTAAAATATGGTATATTACATTTAGGTGTGGGAGCCAGACAGGCTACCTGGCTACGTAGCTACACCTACCAGGCTACCTTTAGAATCTCCCATAAGCTCAGTATCATCATCAAAACGTAACTGTCAACTCCCATTTTGTATTTGATTACTCATAATTTAATCCCACCCCACTCCCCAACACCCTAGCATTTACTTCTTTTACAACCCCATCAATAAGTATATTAAACAACCATGGTGACATTACACATCTCTGTCTAAGACCTACTTTTACCAGGAAGTAATCACCATCTCTTCTACACACCTTAACCTGAGCCTCACTATCCTCATAAAAACTCTTTACAGCATTTAGTAACTTACTACCTATTCCATATACTTGTAACATCTGCCACATTGCTCTCCTATCCACTCTGTTATATGCCTTTTCTAAATCCATAAATGCAATGAAAACTTCCCTACCTTTATCTAAATACTGTGTGACCGTGGCGTAATAGCGCACAAAATGCGTGCTAAAGGAATAACAGGAAAAGTCGGTCGATGGATCTATAATTTCCTCACTAACAGAACACAGAGAGTAGTCGTCAACAGAGTAAAGTCCGAGGCAGCTACGGTGAAAAGCTCTGTTCCACAAGGCACAGTACTCGCTCCCATCTTGTTCCTCATCCTCATATCCGACATAGACAAGGATGTCAGCCACAGCACCGTGTGTTCCTTTGCAGATGACACCCGAATCTGCATGACAGTGTCTTCCATTGCAGACACTGCAAGGCTCCAGGCGGACATCAACCAAATCTTTCAGTGGGCTGCAGAAAACAATATGAAGTTCAACGATGAGAAATTTCAATTACTCAGATATGGTAAACATGAGGAAATTAAATCTTCATCAGAGTACAAAACAAATTCTGGCCACAAAATAGAGCGAAACACCAACGTCAAAGACCTGGGAGTGATCATGTCGGAGGATCTCACCTTTCAAGGACCATAACATTGTATCAATCGCATCTGCTAGAAAAATGACAGGATGGATAATGAGAACCTTCAAAACTAGGGAGGCCAAGCCCATGATGACACTCTTCAGGTCACTTGTTCTATCTAGGCTGGAATATTGCTGCACACTAACAGCACCTTTCAAGGCAGGTGAAATTGCCGACCTAGAAAATGTACAGAGAACTTTCACGGCGCGCATAACGGAGATAAAACACCTCAATTACTGGGAGCGCTTGAGGTTCCTAAACCTGTATTCCCTGGAATGCAGGAGGGAGAAATACATGATTATATACACCTGGAAAATCCTAGAGGGACTAGTATCGAACTTGCATACGAAAATCACTCACTACGAAAGCAAAAGACTTGGCAGACAATGCACCATCCCCCCAATGAAAGCAGGGGTTGTCACTAGGCACGTTAAGAGACCATACAATAAGTGTCAGGGGCCCAAGACTGTTCAACTGCCTCCCAGCACACATAAGGGGGATTACCAACAGACCCCTGGCAGTCTTCAGGCTGGCACTGGACAAGCACCTAAAGTCAGTTCCTGATCAGCCGGGCTGTGGCTCGTACGTTGGTTTGCATGCAGCCAGCAGCAACAGCCTGGTTGATCAGGCTCTGACCCACCAGGAGGCCTGGTCACAGACCGGGCCGCGGGGGCGTTGACCCCCGGAACTCTCTCCAGGTAAACATATATACTTCAATGTAAACACTTGATCTACGCATTCCCTACCCACTCTAAAACCTCCTTGCTCATCTTCAGTCTTACTCTCTGTCTTACCTCTAATTCTTTCAGTAATAACCCTACTGTACACTTTTCCTGGTATACTTAGTAAACTTATTCCCCTATAATTTTTAGTCTCTTTTGTCTCCCTTTCCTTTATATAAAGGAACTATACATGCTCACTTCCTTCCCCTTCCCCTCTTTCATACATTTATTAAACAAAAATACCAGCCACTCCAACAATGTATCCCCCCCCCCTCCTTTTAACATTTCCGTCATGATCCTGTCAGTTCCTGCTGCTTTACCCCCTTTCATTGCATGTAATGCCTCACGCACCTCCCCCACACTCACATCCTGCTCTTCACTCCTAAAAGATGTTATACCTCCCTGGCCAGTGCATGAAATTACTGCCTCCCTTTCTTCATCGACATTTAAAAGTTCCTCAAAATATTCCCGCCATCTACCCAATACCTCCAGCTCCCCATCTACTAACTCTCCCACTCTGTTTTGTTTTTAACTGACAAATTCACTCCCAAATTTTTTCTTATTTTCATTAAAATTTCTTGACATTGTCTCTCCCACTCTGTCATCTGCTCTCCTTTTGCACTCTCACCACTCTCTTTGCCTTTCTTTTACTCTCCATATATACTGCTCTTCTTAAAACACTTCTGCTTTGTAAAAACTTCTCATAAGTTACCTTTTTCTCTCTTATCACACCCTTCATTCCACCAATCACTCCTCTTTCCTCCTGCACCCACCCTCCTATAGCCACAAACTTCTGCCCCACATTCTAATACTGCATTTTTAAAACTATTCCAACCCTCTTCAACCCCTTTCCCCTCTACTATACTTGCACTAGTCCACCTTTCTGCCAATAGTTGCTTATATCTCACTCTAACTTCTTCCTCCCTTAGTTTATACACTTTGACCTCTTTCTTAATTGTTGTTGTCATTTTGCTTTTGTCCCATCTACCTCTTACTCTAACTGTAGCTACAACTAAATAATGATCGGACATATCAGTTGCCCCTCTATAAACATGTACATCCTGAAGCCTACCCATCAACCTTTTATCCACCAATACATAATCTTACAAACTACTTTCATTATTTGCTGTATCATACCTTGTACAGTGGACCCCCGCTTAACGATCACCTCCAAATGCGACCAATTATGTAAGTGTATTTATGTAAGTGCGTTTGTACGTGTATGTTTGGGGGTCTGAAATGGACTAATCTACTTCACAATATTCCTTATGGGAAAAAATTCGGTCAGTACTGGCACCTTAACATACTACTGGAATGAAAAAAGTTTGTTAACCGGGGGTCCACTGTATATTTATTTACCCTCTTTTTCGTAAAATAAGTATTACTTATTACCAAACCTCTTTCTACACACTGCTCAATTAAAGGCTCCCCATTTTCATTTACCTCTGGCACCCTAAATTTACCTACTACTCCCTCCACAACATTTTTACCCACTTTAGTATTGAAATCCCCAACCACAAGTACACTCACACTTGGTTCAAAACTCTCCATGCATTCGCTCAACATTTCCCAAAATCTCTCTCTCTCCTCTACTCTTCTCTCTTCTCCAGGTGCATAAATGCTTACTATAACCCACTTTTCACATCCATCCCTTATTTTACTCCACATAATCCTTGAATAAATACATTTATATTCCCTCTTTTCCTGCCATAACTTATCCTTCAACATTATTGCTACTCCTTCTTTAGCTCTAACTCTATTTGAAGCCCCTCACCTAATCCTATTTATTTCTCCCAACTGAAACTCTCCCACCCCCTTCAGTTTTGTTTCACTTAAAGCTAGGACATCCAGCTTCTTCTCATTTATAACATCCACAATCATCTTGTCTAAAAGTGATCAGAAAGATTATATGCATGTCCATGTCCTTGTTCCCTATCTCAAGAAGGGGTTAATAAGTTTGATAAAATGATTCCATAAACACTTTTCTTATATATTTCAAAGAAAATGTGCTTAATAACACTGGAAAGCTACATGATCAACAGCGTTTGGGATTATCTGCTTTTTTTTTTTTTTTTTAACAAGTCGGCCATCTCCCACCTGGGAGTGATAATGTAAGAGGATCTTGCTTTCAAAGATTGCAACAGTGTATCTACCACATCTGCTAGTAAAATGATAGGATGGATAATGAAAACCTTCAAAACTAAGGGTGCCAAGCCCATGATGATTCTCTTGAAATTGCTTGTTCTCTCTAGGCTGGAATATTGCTGCATATTAACGGCTCCTTTCAAAGCTGGCGAAATTGCAGACCTGGAAAATATACAGAGAACTTTCACAGCACGTATAAGTATCATTCAGCACCTGAATTACTGGGAACGGTGCAAATCCCTTGATTTGTACTCTCTGGAGTGCAGGCAAGAAAGTTACATGATAATATACACTTGGAAAATCCTAGAGGGACTGGGCCCAAATTTGCACACAAAAATCACTCCCTATGAAAGCAAAAGATTGGGCAGGAGATGCAACATCTCCCCAATGAAAAGCAGGGGCACCTTGAGTACACTAAGAGACAGCACAGTACGTGTCAGGGGGCCAAGACTGTTTATCTGCCTCTCAGCATACATAAAGGGAATTACAAATAAACCCCTGACTGTCTTCAAGAAGGTGCTGGACGGGCACATAAAGTCAGTACCCAGGTTGTGGTTTGTATGCCAGTTCGCGTGCAGCCAGGAGTAACAACCTGGTTGATCAGGCTCTGATCCACCACGAGGCCTGGCCACAGACTAGGCTTCGGGGGGCACTGATCCCTGAAACCCTCTCCAGGCATACTCTAGGTGTACTTGTTAAACATGTTGGTAAATAGCTGGTCTGCTGCATGTATCCTCAACTGTAATGCTTAATCTCTAGACCTTATCACAAATCTTAATACTGTGTGCATACTTTATTAACAGATCTTTGTTTTCTATTCATTTTCTGGTATTTTCACTAAAAGTCTTCATCACAGTTCTTGCATTCTTATAAATAGCTGTACATTGAGGATATTTAAAGAATTTTTTTTTTTTCAGTCGTACGAGTTCACCATGTTGGAGCCATATACTGAGTATGTCCTCAAGGTATACATTCATGAAAAGAATGGATCGAAAATCTTTCCTCCCATCAAATCCAGGATTTTCCACACACAGCAAGGAAGTTAGTTGAATTAGATTTACATATATGTTTTAGAATAAAATGAATATTAAGATCAGTAGCTGAATGCTGCTGTCTTATGTTTCTTGTATTGGCTATAGTGTTTTGTATAAAATATTGAATTATCCTCTCATCATTCAAACCTGCACATTTCTGAAGAACAAATTTCGAATCCCAATGAATTCATTTTATTAAAAATTTTTAATTAAAAAGCGCCTTGCAAAGTTTTTTTCTAAGTAAATTAATTGCTAAAGCAAAATTAATGAAAAAACAAGAGAGAAAAACAATAATAACTGAAGTATAATATAAATCTGGTAACATGTAGTATTGAAACCAAAGACAAGAATAGCCATCTAAAGAGAGAGAGAAAGAGAAAAAAAGAAAGAGAGAGAGAGAAAGAAAAAGAAAGAGAGAAAGAAAAAGAAAGAGAGAAAGAAAGACTGATTATTTGTAAGATTAAGGGTTGTTGAGGTGGTTCGGACATATAGAGAAAATGGAACGAAACAGAATGACTTCAAGAGTGTATAAATCTGTAGTGGAGGGAAGGCGGGGTAGGGGTTGGCCTAGGAAAGGTTGGAGGGAGGAGGTAAAGGAGGTTTTGTGTGTGAGGGGCTTGGACTTCCAGCAAGCATGCATGAGAGTATTTGATAGGAGTGAATGGAGACAAATGGTTTTTAATACTTGACGTGCTGTTGGAGTGTGAGCAAAGTAACATTAATGAAGGGATTCAGGGAAACTGGCAGGCCGGACTTGAATCCTGGAGATGGGAAGTACAGTGCCTGCACTCTGAAGGAGGGGTGTTAATGAAGGAGGGGTGTTAATGTTGCAGTTTTATAAACAGTAGTGTAAAGCACCCCTCTAGCAAGACAGTGATGGAGTGAATGATGATGAAAGTTTTTCTTTTTCAGGCCACCTTGCCTTGGTGGGAATTGGCCGATGTGTTAATAAAAAAAAAAAAATAATGTATAGCTCTAAACAATATTTTTAGTAGGAAAGTGCACGAGTCCTTAATTTGGCCAATTTTACACAAAATTAAAAATATATATAGTATTTTGAAAATTGAGCACAAAATAAACAATGTAGACATTACTGGCACTAAAAGAACATTCCCTCTGTTCATTAATCACATTTTCAGGCCCTTTTATGTTATACTTTCCTTTCATTTTGAATTCATAATCACACCAAGAGTTGCTCTATTTCTCAGATAATAAAATGTAACAATGAATGATTGGTCATGGTTTATGGCATTCCAATAAATGAATCTGACATTAAAAGCTCTTAAAGTTGACTAGGGGTATGTAGGGGGGCCTTACCAGGCCTTGGAAAAATCGACAAAAAAATAAAATATTTCCAACAGTTTGAGCTCAGTTTCAAACTACTTCCAGTCATGAAACTCACCAAAATCATAACAATTTCAATAGTATGTCTTACATTCATTCAAATGATGCCAAGAAACAGCCAATAAAACCACAAAAATTATCCTAGAAAATGTCTCAAAGTCACTATTTTAAACCAAATACCTGGTCTGAGCTGCTTTTCCCATCATACACCGTGTGGGGCAGTATTTTTTCTTTTATTCTCTGAACACTCCCTGCACAGACCCATTCTCTCATATCTAGGCCAAAATTTACTGTTCCCAACTTATCTGAGTGCACTGTGGTCATGACATAGAACTACGTGAGGGACTCTGGCCTCAGTAATGTAGTTCTATGTAACAGCCACTGAAAGTGTTAAGTGAGGAGCAGTGTTCAATGGATTGGCCGACTTAATAGTTTTTGAAAGTTGATTTACTGAGATGAATACATGTATAAAGGAATTGGCTGAATGCTAGTCTAAGAATTCCTTGAATTGGGGATAGAAGAGAAAAGCAGTAAAGAGTTCAAGTAGTGTACTATTTCTAACATGGCATAAATGTTGGATTCTTTTATCATGAAGGGACTCAGGGACACCGGCTAGGCAGATTTGAGGCCTAGAGGTAAGAAGGGCAGTGCCTGTGATCTGATGGAGGGGTGGGAATGTTGCAGCTCATTGGGTATTATGAATTGTGATGGCATCACACTTCTGGAAATATATTGAATGAATGATGATGAATGTTTTCTTATTTGTCACCCTGCCTTGGCAGGAGATGGCTGTTAGGGTATAAAGAAAAAAAGTCCATTGACATAACTTGAAATGTATTTGAAATTTATTTGAAATTTATTTCCCTTTAGTTCCAAGTCCTCCTGAAGGGGTGAAAGTGGAGCAAGTGATGGATAGAGTTAAGGTCACCTGGAATACTCCTGTGCACCCTAATGGACCAATCAAGGGATATTGTGTGTAAGTAGATGCATTGAGATACCCTACCTGCTGTTGTCCACTTAATTTACTCTACCTAATTATGGGTTGCTATTCCCATAGTGGTTAATGGAACCTGAAAACAGAAAGGCCTTTTATTAATGTTTTTCATTCGTTGTGTCTTGAGATATACCAGGATAACTGACCTGTAATACTGCTTTGATCATCCTAATACACTCAAACTATTGTATAGAGTTCTTCAAAAATATTTATATCGCATTTCAGATATGTTTCTCCACCAAATCCAGCTCGACAAGTGAATCTTCCAGGTGGTGTCAATCAGCTTATCATTCCATCAAAGCTTATTGACACTAGCACAATCACTGTGTGGGTGAGTAATGCAGGAATGGAATGAGCGATAGTTAAAGCTTGTTTGGGAGCTCCTACTTGGCTATTTTACTGCTTTTTTCTTTATCATTCTTCTGAGAAGGTAATCAGAAGATTAATTATATAGTGATGGAAAAATCCCAGGCATTCTCAAGGTAGCTATCAGGTTTTAAACTTAATAATAGTGGGGCATTTACAATACTGTATATGATAAAAAGCTACATAATTTTCTTTAAACTTGTTGAAACATAGTTTCATTGAGCATGTAGCACACCATGAAAAGGTTTTTTTCTTTGAACAAACTGGCCGTATCCCACCAAAGCAGGGTGGCCCAAAAAGAAGAACAAAAGTTTCTCTTTTTAACTTTAGTAATGTATACAGGAGAAGGGGTTACTAGCCCTTTGCTCCCGGCATTTTAGTCGCTCCTAATGATGGCTTACGGAGGAAGAATTTTGTTCTTCTTCCACATGAAAAGGTATGCATTCGTAATTGCATTATTACTTACATGTTACATATTTCATTCTAAGACAGTGTAGTGTGTACTGTGTGTCAGAATTTGGTACTTGCCTTAATTGTATAATTTTGTAAGAATTTACGAGGCATGACAAAGATCTGAGGGGTTTACCCCTATTCACTTGTCCCCTACCTCCTGGTAGCTCAAATAAGTAATTACATAGAGATTCATATTCATGGTTGCATGATTTATCAACAGTGTGTCAAGATGCAGTACTGCTATATGTACAAAGTTTTGGTAACACCTTGATGGCTAGCAAAAGCTAGCCATCAAGGTGTTACCAAAGCCTTTTTTTGTTATTTTGCATATTTTGATTGGCACCTATGATTTTCAAGCATTTTTACTTACCTGGCATTTTGTAACATTGTTCCCTTTGAGCCAAATGTGACAATAGTTTGTGAAGCAGATGAGATCAGTAGGGAGTTTAAGCTTACATTTGTAAATTTATTAAGTACAGTACTGTATATACTCCAGTGTAACCTGCCCAAGTATAGACCAGCCACCAATTTATTTTGGCCACTAATTTCTTAAATTTTCATGTATCTCTTCTACAAGCCTACCCTAGTTTTTTAGGGGCTTTAAAAGGGGCCAAATTGTTCTGATGCCAAAAAAAAAAAAAATGCCTAGCCAAAATTCATCAAAATAATAAATACAGTAGGGCCCCATTTACACGGCAGGTTAGGTTCCAGGCCACCGCCGTAAAGCGGAAATCACCGTAAAGTGGAACACCCTTTTTTTCCTCTTATAAATGCATATAAATACTAGATAACAAGTGTATCTTTATACGTATATGCTTCTAAACTGTTGTATTCTGAGCACCTCTGCAAAAACAGTGATAATGTGTGAGTGTGGTGAAAGTGTTGAATGATGATGAAAGTATTTTCTTTTTGGGGATTTTCTTTCTTTTTTGGGTCACCCTGCCTCGGTAAGAGACAGCCGACTTGTTGAAAAAAAAAGAAAAGTTTACACTAACATATATTAAGTTAGCAGTAGAACTAGGCATCAAAAAACAATAAAAAATATAAAATACACACATAGTGCACTCATTACTTACATTAAAATATTTGTAGTCTTGCTCTAGGTTGAGATGAGTGGTATTTATTGTAAGAAATCAAGTGCGGTATGTATGGTAGCCAGCCCTACCACCCCACCCACACATACTATTCTATGATATTTAAGCATCCCAGAGCAGTAAAATGCATATACAGTTCACTCATTACTTACCTTAAAATATTTGTAGTCTTAATGTAGGGTCAGAGGTGAGTAAACGAGATAAAACAAATAAATGATAGAGAGAATGAGTACATGAGAGAGGACAGGCGCAGAGTTGTGTAAACAAACCAGGTGAACGTAAGTTTTGTACACAGTGTACACGTCCGGTTTGTGTACAAGTTACATTGTGTGCAAGTTGTCTCTACATTGATACGGTAGAATAAATAAAGAACACTACCATTCTCATGTAACACCGTTTTTAGAAGAAATGACGCTTTGAGTGAAGGCAATGGAAATTAATCACTCTGGCTTTTTTTGGTTTATCCTAGGTTCTCTACACATATGCTGTTATGTATGATAATCTATGTAACTGTATTTGTGTATACCTGAATAAACTTCCTTACATACATAGGAAAGGAATAATTTTCTACAGTTACCCCCAGTAACACATTTTCTCTGATGGACTAGAGAAAATGTTATTCTTGCCGTCACTCGTAAAAGTCTGGCTCCCACATCTCATATTTATGTTTATTTATTCTATTGTGGGGTGTATTTATCAACTTTATATGTTATGTATCGTGTTTATTATATAATTTTGAAAAAAAAATATCATGGATGGATTAATGAAAATGTGTATATTAACGTAATACTATATGACATATAATGAGACTCTTGTCCAGAGGGCTGAGGAAGGGTTGTTGAGGTGGTTCGGACATGTAGAGAGAATGGAGCGAAACAGAGTGACTTCAAGAGTGTATCAGCCTGTAGTGGAAGGAAGGTGGGGTAGGGGTCGGCCTAGGAAAGGTTGGAGGGAGGGGGTAAAGGAGCTTTTGTGTGCGAGGGGCTTGGACTTCCAGCAGGCATGCGTGAGCGTGTTTGATAGGAGTGAATGGAGACAAATGGTTTTTAATACTTGACGTGCTGTTGGAGTGTGAGCAAAGTAACATTTATGAAAGGGTTCAGGGAAACCGGCAGGCCGGACTTGAGTCCTGGAGATGGGATGTACAGTACCTGCACTCTGAAGGAGGGGTGTTAATGTTGCAGTTTAAAAACAGTAGTGTAAAGCACCCTTCTGGCAAAACAGTGATGGAGTGAATGATGGTGAAAGTTTTTCTTTGTCGGACCACCCTGCCTTGGTGGGAATCGGCCAGTGTGATAATAAAAGTAATAAATATTATCATTTCTAATGTGGCGTCACTTGTGCAAGTTATCTGCTACCACATCTCATATTTATGTTTATTTATTCTACTGTGGGGTGTATTTCTCATCTTTATATGTTATGCATCGTGTTTATTATATAATTCTGAAAAAATATCCTAGATGGATTAATGAGGGAGGGGGTAAAGGAGGTGTTGTGGGCGAGGGGTTTGGACTTCCAGCAAGTGTGCGTGAGCGTGTTAGATAGGAGTGAATGGAGACAAATGGTATTTGGGACCTGATGATCTGTTGGAGTGTGAGCAGGGTAATATTTAGTAAAGGGATTCAGGGAAACCAGTTATTTTATATAACTGGACTTGAGTCCTGGAAATGGGAAGTACAATGCCTGCACTCTAAAGGAGGGGTTTGGGATATTGGCAGTTTGGAAAGCTATATTGTGTAATTTTTTTTTTTTTTCAACAAGTCGGCCGTCTCCCACCGAGGCAGGGTGACCCAAAATAGAAAGAAAATCCCCAAAAAGAAAATACTTTCATCATCATTCAACACTTTCACCACACTCACACATTATCACTGCTTTTGCAGAGGTGCTCAGAATACAACAGTTTAGAAGCATATACGTATAAAGATACACAACATATCCCTCCAAACTGCCAATATCCCAAACCCCTCCTTTAAAGTGCAGGCATTGTACTTCTCATTTCCAGGACTCAAGTCCGACTATATGAAAATAACCAGTTTCCCTGAATCCCTTCACTAAATATTACCCTGCTCACACTCCAACAGATCGTCAAGTCCCAAGTATCATTCGTCTCCATTCACTCCTATCTAACACGCTCATGCACGCTTGCTGGAAGTCCAAGCCCCTCGCCCACAAAACCTCCCCTACCCCCTCTTTCCAACCCTTTCGAGGATGACCCCTACCCCTCCTTCCTTCCCCTATAGATTTATATGCTTTCCATGTCATTCTACTTTGATCCATTCTCTCTAAATGACCAAACCACCTCAACAACCCTCTTTCTGCCCTCTGACTAATGCTTTTTATTAACTACACACCTTCTCCTAATTTCCACACTCCGAATTTTCTGCATAATATTTACACCACACATTGCCCTTAAACAGGACGTCTCCACTGCCTCCAACCGTCTCCTCGCTGCTGCATTTACCACCCAAGCTTCACATCCATATAAGAGTGTTGGTACTACTATACTTTCATACAGTCCCTTCTTTGCCTCCATAGATAACGTTTTTTGACTCCACATATACCTCAACGCACCACTCACCTTTTTTCCCTCATCAATTCTATGATTAACCTCATCCTTCATAAATCCATCTGCCGACACGTCAACTCCCAAGTATCTGAAAACATTCACTTCTTCCATACTCCTCCTCCCCAATTTGATATCCAATTTTTCTTTATCTAAATCATTTGATACCCTCATCACCTTACTCTTTTCTATGTTCACTTTCAACTTTCTACCTTTACACACATTCTCAAACTCATCCACTAGCCTTCGCAATTTTTCTTTAGAATCTCCCATAAGCACAGTATCATCAGCAAAAAGTAACTGTGTCAATTCCCATTTTGAATTTGATTCCCCATAATTTAATCCCACCCCTCTCTGTAACACCCTAGCATTTACTTCTTTTACAACCCCATCTATAAATATATTAAACAACCATGGTGACATTACACATCCCTGTCCAAGACCTACTTTTACCGGGAAGTATTCTCCCTCTCTTCTACACACCCTAACCTGAGCCTCACTATCCTCATAAAAACTCTTTACAGCATTTAGTAACTTATCACCTATTCCATATACTTGCAACATCTGCCACATTGCTCCTCTATCCACTCTATCATATGCCTTTTCTAAATCCATAAATGCAATAAAAACTTCCCTACGTTTATCTAAATACTGTTCACATATATGCTTCAATGTAAACACTTGATCTACACATACCCTACCCACTCTGAAGCCTTCCTGCTCATCCGCAATCCTACATTCTGTTTTACCTCTAATTCTTTCAATTATAACCCTACCGTATACTTTTCCTGGTATACTCAGTAAACTTATTCCTCTATAATTTTTACAATCTCTTTTGTCCCCTTTCCCTTTATATAAAGGGACTTTACATGCTCTCCGCCAATCCCTAGGTACCTTCCCCTCTTTCATACATTTATTAAACAAAAGTACCAACCACTCCAACACTATATCCCCCCTGCTTTTAACATTTCTGTCATGATCCCATCAATTCCAGCTGCTTTACCCCCTTTCATTCTACGTAATGCCTCATGTACCTCCACCCCACTTACATTCTGCTCTTCTTCACTCCTAAAACATGGTATACATCCCTGGCCAGTGCATGAAATTACCGCCTCCCTTTCTTCCTCAACATTCAAAAGTTCCTCAAAATATTCTTGCCATCTACCTAATACCTCCCTCTCCCCATCTACTAACTCCTCTACTCTGTTTTTAACTAACAAATCCATACTTTCCCTAGGCTTTCTTAACTTGTATAACTTGTGTATTTTTATACGTATATATTTCTAAACTGTTTTATTCTGGGCACCTCTGTAAAAACAGTGATTATGTGTGAGTGAGGTGAAAGTGTTGAATGATGATGAAAGTATTTTCTTTTTGGAGATTTTCTTTATCTTTGGGTCACCCTGCCTCGGTGGGAGATGGCCGACTTGTTAAAAAAAAAAAATGTATATTAACATAATATATGACATTTAATGAGACTCGGTGATTATTATTATTATTACTAATATGACGTCTCGAGACATAAGGCACACTTATTGATTTTAATGTGTACCTGCATGCCAGCACAGTATGTAAGTTTATTTAGGTACAGGTATACACAAGTATAATTATTAGAGTACATATATATAAAATATGAAATAACTTTTAAAAACACTTGAAATTTTGGGAGTTTCCAGACATAAGTGCTTACGGATCTCACATAGAATGTAAACAAACAGGGTGAGGCACAGTGACTATTAGAAAGTCAGGTGGGGGGAGCCGTATAGAGAGTTTTGGTCATAATTTGAAAGGACTGTATTAGCGGAACGCCGTAAAGCAAAACGGCGTAAAGCGGGGCCCTACTGTATACAGAAAATGTAAAATCAGCTCCAGAATTTTTTAAATATTTGTGATAAAAATATTTAGTGTAAACCCTTGATAAACATAAGAATAGAGGAACATTGCAGTAGGCTTACTGGCCCATGCTTAGCAGATCCTTACATTCAACCATTCCATTGTCATCTTTTGCCAAATTTGCTCTATTTTTGCTTATTTTTTTTATTGTTGTGTGTGTGTGTGTGTGGGTATAGCACAAGGTGAGTAGCTTGCATATGCTTATTTGAAGTATGTGTGAAATGTTCTTTTTGGTTAGTCTAAGAATAGGATAAGGTGGCCATTGTAAAAGAAATTGCTGTATATTTCCAAATTTATTTGTATATTTAAGGTGGAATATGGCTATCATTGTTGTTTTGCCCTTGATGCAACAAAGCAGTAGAACTCCTAGTGTAGTTGGCCTACAGCTTATAAGACTAAGACTTTGGACCCCTCTCTGAAGTATTACCCATGAATAAGTCATCCCTTCTAATTTTTGCACAAAAATTTGGTCTTTAAAACCTCAAAATATACTGGAGTATGTGTTCTGTTTTGTTCATGTTAAACCTGTTTCATTATAAAAATTAATTTCATCTGTCCATTTCTGTAATTTTTTCTTAATTTTTCAGGTAACTGTAACAAATGATGCATACATCAGTGAACCAAGTATACATGTTAATTTTGTTAGAGAATCTTTCGAGAATACAACGGTGCAGATTGGTTCTGTGGCAAGTACTACTACAAATGTCAGCATTTCCTGGGAACCCTTGCCAGGAGTAGATGGCTATATGGTCAGCCATTCTCGGCCAGAAAATGAGTATTTGTTGGGAAAAATTACAAAAAATACCACTGAAAATCGTATAGAAAGTAAGTATAAATCTTGAAAGTAACAGACAGTTGTGAGCTATTTGTATGGACATCAGAAAGCATTATTATTTTTAGTAGTATCATTAGAAATGAGTGATATTTGAAAGTATACCAAAATAGCGTTCGTCTTTTTGTGATATAGTTATGATTTATGTACCTAATAACCTGAATTTTCATCAGTAACCGACTTAGCACCTGGGAAGGATTATATGTTTGAGGTGCGAGCATACAAGGGTCAGGTGGTTGGATCAGAGAAGGTCATTGAAGTGAAGACTCATGGGCAGCCATTAGTACCTGTGGAATCTTTGCAAGCTGTACTCATGAAGGATGTTGGAACCACTGTTAAGCTTTCTTGGAGTGAGCCAGCTTACAAAATGAAAAAGGTACTATTTCAATTGCAACCATACAGTTTGGTATAAAGCCATTTATTTTATTCATCTTAAAGTAGCTAATGATTTTAATATATGTATTCAATTTTTCTAAACTCTTTTTCTTGTTTTGAGAAGATTGTTTATATAAAAGTGTTGAACATTGTGAATGAGCACATAATACTGAAACTACGAAATATTTTAATGGATGACTCCATGTAGCATGCTTCATCAGAGACCTTAATCATGTTAGTGTTTTTTTTTATTTTTTCAAAGGCAGAATTTGTGTTTTTATTCAGTCACGACACCTCTCCATGACTTATTTATCTTTAGCATCCACCTTATAGCTTTGCCATGTTATTTACCATAATTTTTTGTCTAATTCTCTTCACTCTCCCTTCAAGTAGTAGGAATAGAGATCTTAATGCTGGTGAACAATTCTTGATCTTTGGATTAAGCCTTCCATTTAGTATGCATAATTTAACCTTGATTAAGTGGAATAGAACCACTGTAGGTGTAGCAAGTACTATTTTCACTGAATGGTAATATGATGAAATAAATACTGAAGATGACACACAACAAATAGATGCTACTATACTAGCAAATGGATGACTGCAGATTACATATTTGGCTATTATGTCTTGGGTAAAAGAGAAGATAGGTCTCTGGCATGGGGGCAGGGTTGGATGTTTAATGTCTAGCTCAATATGTTTGTATCTTTTCCCTTACATAAGTTGCATAATGGAAGTGGTCCACCATGCTTCTAATTGGTTTTTCTCTCCCATACTGCCTACTCAAGACAATATACACTCCCACAAACCACTAAGAGTTCCTAAAATTCTCTAGTTTCCCTAAGTGTTTCATCACCTTATTTGGATTATTTGAGTAACTTGCCCAGTGACTTCACCTTCCACCAGATGCTAAGGAACATAATAGTTTACTTGTCAGAGGAACTGGTCACTACTTAGGGTCTTTCTTTCTCCATTTCAGGCAGTTTCCAAATCTAGTGATTCTTAAACATTTTGGTGAATAGCTTGTCAAATTTTTGCTTCAGTTAGGATTTTGGATCCACATTTTAGCTCCACCATGTATATAATTTTCTAAACTTAGTATTGGGGTACACATTAGAGATGTATCGGATGTGAAAATTTAGATATCCGCGAATGCAGATATGTATGAGGATGTCTTACTTATTTTGTGGATGTAAGAAATTGTGCTGATGTTCCGCAGATTCGGATGCGGATGCATATGCAGATATCTTTCTTTCTTTCAATGCACCAGCCATATCCCACTGAGGTGGGGTAGCCCAAAAAGAAAAACAAAAGTTTCTCATTTTAAATTTAGTAATATATACAGGAGAAGGGGTTACTAGCCCCTTGCTCCCGGCATTTTAGTCGCCTCTTACAACACGCATAGCTTACGGAGGAAGAATTCCGTTCCACTTCCCCATGGAGATAAGAGGAAATAAACAAGAAGAAGAACTAGAAAGAAAATAGAAGAAAACCCAGAGGGGTGTGTATGTATATGCTTGTACATGTATGTGTAGTGTGACCTAAGTGTAAGTAGAAGAAGCAAGACATACCTGAAATCTTGCATGTTTATGAGACAGACAAAAAACACCAGCAATCCTACCATCATGTAAAACAATTACAGGCTTTCGTTTTACACTCACTTGGCAGGACGGTAGTACCTCCCTGGGCAGTTGCTGTCTACCAACCTACTACCTAGGATGCAGATATCTGTTTACAGTGAAATGCGGATGTAAGAAATTGTGTGGATGTTCTGCAGATGCGGATATCCGATACATCACTAGTACGCATTTTTGTTTTCTTTCCAGATTGTATGGACATACCGAATTTTGTGGGGCAAGAGTGCAAATGATCTTAAGCATGGTGCTAATGTTGCTACTACAACCAACACAACATTGGTGATCCGGGGACTAGAAGCATGTGAGATTTACCTGATGGCTGTGATGGTAGAAGGCCCCATTGGCATTGGTCCAGTTAAGAAAAAACTGGTAAATACATTACTTTTACTCTGTATGATTATACAACTTTTTTTTTTCCAGCAGATGAGCCATATCCCACCGAGGCAGGGTGACCTAAAAAGAAAAACAAAAAGTTTTTTCTTTAAATTTAGTAATTTATGAAGGGAAAGGGGTTACTAGCCCCTTGCTTCTGGCATTTTAGTTGCCTCTTATGACACGCATGGCTTACAGAGGAAGAATTCTTTTCCACTTTCTCATGGAGATTATGTAACTTCTTCTTTCAACAAACTGACTGTATCCCACTGAAGCATGGTGGCCCAAAAAGAAAAACAAAAATTTCTTTGTGACTTTAGTAATGTATACGGGAGAAAGGGGTACTAGCGCCTTACTCCCGGCATTTTAGTTGCCTCTCATGACATGCATGGCTTACTGAGGAAGAATTCTGTTCCACTTCCCCATGGAGATTACATAACATCTTTTCCTTCAACAAACCATCCAAATCCCACCGAGGCAGGGTGGCCCAAAAGAAAAAACAGAAGTTTCTCCTTTTAAATTTGGTAATATATACAGGAGAAGGGGTTACTAGCCCCTTGTTCCTGGCATTTTGGTTGCCTCTTGTGACACGCATGGCTTACTGAGGAAGAATTCAGTTCCACTTGCCCATGGAGATAAGAGGACATGCACAAGAACTAGTAAGAAAATAGAAGAAACCCCAGAGGGGTGTGTATATATATGCTTGTACATGCAAGTGTGGTATTACCTGAGTGCAAGTAGAACTAGCAAGATGTACCTCAAATCTTGCTTGCTTATGAGACAGAAAAAAAGACACCAGCAATCCTACCCTCATGTAAAACAATTACAGGCTTCTGTTTTACACTCACTTGGCAAGATGGTAGTATCTCCCTGGGGGGTTGCTGTCTACCAACCTACTGCCTAATATTATGCAGCAGACCGTTATTTAACACTGTAGTTATGTTCCTGAAAACACCGTGTGAGGTAAAAAACCGTGTTAGATGAACTGAAGAACTTAAGGGAAAAATAGGGTTACGTTCCTGAGAGCCCCAAAAAAGCCTCAAAAAATTTTTTTTAGGCCTCCACATCTAATAAAAATAAAAGTGAATATGTAATTGTAGTTCATTGTTGTGATGTATTATGTTGTTTTTACTCCTTAAGACTACAACTGTAACAGAAATAATAGTATTTCTTACCTTAAATTGTGGGTGCTGGTGTTTGTGGATGATTGTGAAGAGAGCGGAGAGTTATGCTGTGGCCTTACTAGGCTAAGGTGGATGGTAGAGGTTCTGGTACTGAAGTTGATGGTTGTACTGGAGTGTCTAACTTTAAGTCATTCAGTAAGTCAGTCAAGTCATTCAGTAAGTCAGTCAAGTCATTTAGTAAATCAAGTCATTCGGTAAGTCAAGTCATTCAATAATTCAAGTCATTCAATAATTCAAGTCATTCAGTAAGTCAGTCAAGTGATTCAGCAAGTCAGTCAAGTCATTCAGTAAGTCATGTTGTTTAGTAAATCAAGTCATTCAGTAAGTCAAGTCATTCAGTAAATCAGTCAAGTCATTCAGTAAGTCAGGCAAGTCATTCAATAAGTCAGGCAAGTCATTCAGTAAGTCAGGCAAGTCATTCAGTAAGTCAGTCAAGTTGTTCAATAGGTCTCAAGTCATTCAGTAAGTCAGTCAGTCAGTCAGTCATTCTTAGTACTAAGTCAGCCAGTCACACAAACTTATGTTTACCTCTTTTTTATGTGTACAAAGTAACACTTCATTATGGCCACAGGATGTGTTGTCTAATATCTTTGTTTTCTTCATTAATTCTAAGACTTAAGGGGGCTGTAGGGCAATTGGCCGCGCGCGCTCACCGAAAAATCGGAAAAATATGGATATTGAGTTATATATACTGAAAAAAAGCTCAACTCTTTGGCAACACAATGGTACCAGAATGAATGTTCTACGACGTTTCTACAAGAAATTATAGTCATTTATATCAGGTATGGTGACGGCGATGTTGGTACCGAGTCTGCTCACGGCCTATATATTTTTTGGAGTTATTTTCTTGTTTTTTATCGCCTTTTCTTGCATTATTCTTTCTAATATAATAACTGACTATTTGGCATCATAAAACAGTAGGCGGGACTTATCCTGAGACTTAGTGACTGCCGGGAACCAGATGGGAACGCTCAGCAGTGTGCCACCGCTCGAGGTGCCAGCCAGGAATCACCCATTATTACGCTTATATCAGCTTATATATCAACTCTACGGCTTATTTGTCTATCAGAATTGATCTAATATGATATAATAAACACTCTAAATAACATACAAACATGTTATATACTCTAGACTGAATAAAATAGGCCATAATATGGCCCAGAGATTATCGGGAATATTTCGATATAAAAGTGTAACTTGTTACCCTGTCGTCTCTGAGTAAGAGAAAACGGTGTTTTGAAGAGGATAACTGCACTAGAACATCAGTTTACTAAGAAATACACCCAAACAAACGCGATTTTCGCAAATTTTTTTTTTTTTTTTTTGAGACGGGGGCCGGCCGGCGTTCCCGGCCGATATCTCGGAAGTAACTTATTCACCTATAATTCGATGTGGCTCCTTTATTACTTAATTAAATGGAATAATATTCACAGATATTGTAGAATAATGATTTCTCTTATCCTGACCGTTGAGTTTTTGAAAATATTCCAAATAGTTCAGGAGTTATGTGGGAGTAAAGGGCAGATTTTTTTGCAATATTCCAGAAACTAACAAACTTTATTTTTTTGTGAAATAACGATAAGGTATTTAGAGGGAAATCTTACGGTCCGAATTAGTATTAGCATTGTTCTCTCGGCACCAAGTGTCCAAACCACCTTACGTAGCCGCATATAAGAGTTACATCAAAATCAAGGGCATTTTCAGTAAATCAGTCTTTTCTCAGTTGTTGTTTGAGGTATATTTTTTATAAATATTTTCAAGAAAGAGTGAGAACACTTTGTCTTGTGCACCAAAACTGGAGAAAATCGGACGGTAAATAAACGAGTTACGAAATTTGCCCTACAGCCCCCTTAAATTCTTACACTTTCTCTTGCCACTTTCAGCAACACTGGTAAGCCTACTGGGTGTCATGATTGCTTAGCAGATGCAAGATATAGCAAGTAAAAGATCAAAACACAGATCACAATCACAAGCTTGTAGCAGAGAAGCTGGACTGGACGCATATGAAGTACAATTGCTGGGATGGTGGGGTGGTGTTGGTGGGTGGCTGGGGATGGTGGGAGGTTGCCACTGCTGATCCACAAGGCAGCCGCTTGAGGAAAAGGGAAGATTCTTTTTCTTCCCGCAAACTGAACCGTGTTAAATTCATCTTAGGACGTGTTACATAAAATTGTGCCGCAATTCTTCAATCGTGCTATACCCAAATCGTGCCAAATAAACTCATGCTAAATGATGGTCTACTGTATAACTATTGTATTTAATAAGATGGAGGAAAAAAATTTCCCTGAGCTTATGAGTCCTGCTGATTTAGCTAATTATAATACAATGTATTTTTATGCTTATTTATTTTGCTGAGACGTATTTAGGAGAAATGAAGCAAAAAATTTATATTAATGAAACCAACAAAAGCACAGATTTTCTTAAAGGGGAACTGCAACTGCTTTACTGGTACAACTCATTTTTCTTAACTCACACCATCTACTGCTGTAAGACAAAGGCCTGTGTAACTGCTATACAAACTAGACAGTCACTTGGACTAAGATATTAGGTGACAAAGCACTTAATAAGTTACTCATGAACTACATTAGCAGATGTACATCAGCAGTTAGAAATAAAGAATCTATTTCTTGTTCAATGTTAAAAAATCTCTGCATGATAATTCTGAGGGCAAATTTTTATGTGAGGATGGATGCAGAAGAGAGGGGGATAGAGAGCTCTGTAAGCTGTCAAAAATCAGTCTGCAGATATCTTTGTTGGAGTGTGAGTAAGGTTACATTAATGAAAGTACAGTGGACCCCCGGTTAACGATATTTTTTCATTCCAGAAGTACGTTCAGGTGCCAGTACTGACCGAATTTGTTCCCATAAGGAATATTGTGAAGTAGATTAGTCCATTTCAGACCCCCAAACATACACGTACAAACGCACTTACATAAATACACTTACATAATTGGTCGCATTGGGAGGTGATCGTTAAGCGGGGGTCCACTGTATTCAGAGAAGTCAGTTAACTGGACTTGAACCTTGGAGGTGGGAAATACAGTGCCTGCATTCTGAAGTTAAAGGTGGGGATGTTGCAGTTCTGAAGATTATCTGAGTTGTGATGTCAGTATGCTTCTGACAAGTAAGTGATTGAATGTATGACTGTTTTTATTTTGGGGGATCACCCAACCTTGGTGGGAGACAGCCAGTGTGTAAAGAAAAATCGATTTTGTAACCCACTAGTTTTTCAGTGACTTTAAACCAGTTTCCCTGAATGCCTTTATAAATGTTACACTCCAGCAGCACACCAATCACTAAAAACCACTTGTCTCCTCTGACTGATCTAGAATGATGACAGATGCCTGATAGATGCTTAAGCCTCCTTCATACCATTCCTGGGATGACCCCAACCCTTCCTTTCCTCCACCCCAGATTTATACACTTAATTTTTTTAATACACCGACTGTCTCCAACCCAGGTAGGGTGACTCGAAAAAGAAGAAACACTCACCATCATTCACTCTATTATTGTCATGTCAAAAGGTATGCTGATACTATAGTTCAGATGCCTCTCCAGACTGCAGGTATCCCCACCTCTCCTTCAGAATGCACACAATGTATTTCCCACATCAAAGACTCGAGTCCAACTAGCCAGTTTTCCTGAATCCCTTGACTGTTATCTTTATGTAAACAGCATATTAACCTTAACTACCCATCCTCCACCCACTGAATTATACCTTTTGTAACCCCCACACTGTGTTTACCTATATGTGGTTACAGGATTTGAGGCTTAGTTCCTGGCTCTGCCCCCTTCTCCCAGTTTGCCACTTGCCAAATTCACTCCCTCCTAGCCTCATGGGCTCCATGTTTTTAGAAAACTGTTTGAAGCCTGCTTCCACCACTTTATTTTATTTCCCAAGTGTCCTAAAACTGAAGAGATACTTCTAACATGCCTCTCATTCATTGATGTCTTTAATTTCCAAATTTTTTTTCCTTGAGTACCCGTTGTCTGCTGTCAATCAGCCTGTCCCTGTCCACCCTATCAAATTCCTCTTGAGTATCTTGTACATTATCACGTTTTCCCTGGTTCTCCTGTCTTCGAATGCCATTAGATTCAGTTTAGTTAGCATCTTCTAGTTGTTCATACCCCCTTAGCTCAAAAGCAAATCTTGTTGCATATTTACTTTAGTTTTTTAACATTCCTTTTCAGATGCAGGTTCCATACTGGAGCTGCATACTCCAAGAGAGGCCCAACAATTGTTGTATACAGACCTGGAATGACTATTGAGATACTTGCAGGTTACTATTAGATTTGCCAGACTAGCATTAGTTGCAGAGGTTATTAAGCTGATGTAAGCCTCTGACTAACATCAGTCTTATAAACTTCTTATTGCAAAGAGTAACTGGAACCACTCCCACTTAATATCACCTTGGTTATCCTTTAATTCCACTCCTCTCATCAACACCTTAGCATTCACTTCTTTTACACTCCTATCTAAACATATATATTGAACAACCATAGTGACATTACATATTCCCTGTCTAAGGCCTACTTTTACTGAAAAATAGTCTCCTCCTGGCCTGCGTTCCCTAGCCTGAGTAGCTTTTAGTAACCTACCTATTCCATACATTTGCAACATCATTTATATACATGTTTGTAATATTTACACAGCTACAAACTGTTGCTGATCCGCTGGCCCCACCAAAGAACTTGCATGCAAGGCTAGTGAACATGACCATGGTGATAACGTGGGAACCGTCATGTCCTCATGCTGAGAATGACAGTCTGTTTTATCGGGTAAGCTCTAATCTTACTTATTAAAATGTCATGAAAATTACTTGAGTTGTTTCATATACTTTTGTAGAGTAAGTATTTACAGTATGCATGGGTAGAATTTTCATCATTTTATGGTCAGGGTTGAAAGCATTCAAAGACAGGTGAAGTAATGCTGATAGTAAGACCTAGTTCATCATCTGAACCTTGGTAATCAATCCCTTTAAATATAGTGGAACCTCGGTTTTCGTCATTAATTTGTTCCAGAAAGTCTGACGAAAACCGAATAATGTAAATTGAATTAATCCATTAAAGACACCCAAAAGTATTAACAAAAAATACATTTTATAGAGAATAACTAGTTTTACATGCAGAAAATAATGAGAAATAAATATGCAGGACTAATGAAGTAGATAAATGAACATTTAACATCACTGTTACCTTTATTAAAGACACTTATTGGCGTATGGAAGACGGCAAGGAGGGGAGAGGGAAGAGAGGTTCTCTACCACAATCACTACTACCATCACTACCACTACCACCACCCTCTTCCACCATCACTATCACCCTCTACCATCATCACTATCACCCTCTACCACCATTGAATTCTATCGTGTTTCACACCTTTATCAAAGGGCTGGAACTCTGAACTTTCTTTGGCCCCATGGTGGCTTATTAAGCAGTCACACTCGATAAACAAGCACAAAAAACAATGGATTATTATGAAATGTTTCGGATGAACTCGCAGGGTAATGCTCACTCGATGAGAAACAAAGCCAGACTGACTCAGAACGCATGGGATGCTTTGTGTGGGCGCCGGCAGGTGGACATGTTCAGTATGGTGGACCACTGTCGACTCAACGGAAACCGAGGTGATGAACGAAAACTGGGACAAAGTTTTGACGAAAAAAGTCGTCAAAAACTGAATTCGACGAAAACCAGGGAAAAAGAAAACAGAGGTTCCACTGTACTATTTATTCATGTAAGACTATTAAAAACAGTCTTTAGATAATTTTTCTTTTAATTTTAATTTTTTTTTTTTTTTTATATGTACAAGTACTGTATTGTTTTGATTAAGATTTCTTTTCCATAGTTGAGATGTTCCCCCTGCTGTTGGAAGTCTCTTTGTCTTTGAACACAAACAAACCTGACCATAATGTGATGTAAAACTTCATTACCTTTATCAAGGATAATTTTCTCCTAAACAGCTTTCCATCAGGGACGTTATTCGTAACGAGACATCGTATTATATGCTAATGAACCAGAAAAACCACACACACAGCCACACTGTCGTTGCTCATTGGGGTGGCTTCTACTCCATATATGTAAGCACATCTCTGCCAGGGGCACGCTCAAGCAGGCCAGCTGTGTGTCGTGGTCCAGTCATTCCTCCACCTTATGACCTGACGTACAACCCAGTTGATGGCTCATTCTTTTGGAGGAGAAATCGTACTCTTCCTCATGAAATTTTGACAAAGTAAGTTCATTCTCAGTATTTTATGAAATTGCATGTTCCTTCAATTACGTACTATATTTTATGATGAGCAAGGTGCTCCAGTGTCGAGGAACAACTCCCCCCCCCCTCCCCATCCTCCCCAGAAGTCTGACTGGAAAATTCTGGAAAAAAAAAAAACAGTATCCATGCTAATAACAGTAATTAAGTTATGTTAAGCCTGAGGCACGTGTCGATGGTGGTTCGTTCTTTGCTTATTTGTCACTGATGCAGCTGACTGCAGGTATACCAGTCAGCTGTGTCAGCTAAAACATGCTAAATTTATGTGAAGCAGCACTTAGAAATGCACTAGTATACAGGCGATTACTCTTGATCTGTTAAATCCCAATCCTGAGCTTTAAAGGTTCTTAACCCAGAACTCAGCAAAATGTTCTTTGCAGAGTTAACATAAGTGGTCAACTAATTGTAATGAACAGTGTTCAGCAATGACAGACATATTTCCCTCTGTTCTTCTTACATCATAGCTTAGGTTTTGAAATTAGTAAGTTTATTTAGGAGGGTGGGTGCAGGAGGAAAGAGGAGTGATTGGTGGAATGACGAAGTAAAGGGTGTGATAAAAGAGAAAAAGGTAGCTTATGAGAGGTTTTTACAAAGCAGAAGTGTTATACGAAGAGTAGAGTATATGGAGAGTAAAAGAAAGGTGAAGAGAGCGGTGAGAGAGTGCAAAAGGAGAGCAGATGATAGAGTGGGAGAGGCACTGTCAAGAAATTTTAATGAAAATGAGAAAAAATATCGGAGCGAGTTAAACAAGTTAAGAAAGCCTAGGGAACGAGTGGATATGTCAGTTAAAAAGAGAGTAGGGGAGTTAGTAGATGGGGAGATGGAGGTACTGGGTAGATGGCGAGAATATTTTGAGGAACTTTTAATGTCGACGAAGAAAGGGAGGCGGTAATTTCATGCACTGGCCAGGGAGGTATACCATCTTGTAGGAGTGAAGAAGAGCAGGATGTGAGTGTGGGGAAGGTGCGTGATGCATTACCTAGAATGAAAGGGGGTAAAGCAGCTGGAACTGACGCGATCGTGACAGAAATGTTAAAAGCAGGGGAGGATATAGTGTTGGAGCGGTTGGTATTTTTGTTTAATAAATGTATGAAAGAGGGAAAGGTACCTAGGGATTGGCAGAAAGCATGTATAGTCCCTTTATATAAAGGGAAGGGGGGCAAAAGAGAGTGTAAAAATTATAGAGGAATAAGTTTACTGAGTATACCAGGAAAAGTGTACAGTGGAGTTGTTATTGAAAGAATTAGAGGTAAGACAGAATGTAGGATTGCAGATGAGCAAGTAGGTTTTAGAGTGGGTAGGGGATGTGTAGATCAAGTGTTTAAATTGAAGCATATATGTGAACAGTATTGAGATAAAGGTAGGGAAGTTTTCATTGCATTTATGGATTTAGAAAAGGCATTTGATAGTGGATAGGGAAGCAATGTGGCAGATGTTGCAAGTACAGTGGACCCTCGAGTTTTGGCAGCCTCGACTTTCGTGAAATTCGACCTTCGGCGAGTTTTTTTGGCAAAATTTGGCCTCGAGTTTCGTGATTAAACTCGTGTTTCGGTGACCATCTGGTACCCGTCCGCCTATCACCACGCACACCAAGCCAGTCTCCCACGCCATTCACGCTCAGTGTGCCATTGTTTACCAACACATGACCATCACCCCGCTGGTTCATACGTAATAATCCATTGTTTTTTGTGATTACAACTGCTAAATAAGTCACCATGGGCCCAAGGAAAGCTAGTGCAAGCCCTTTGGTAAAGAAAGTGAGGAACACGATCGAATTCAAGAAGGAAATCATTGAAAAATATGAGAGTGGAGTGCGTGGTACAGAGCTTGCCAGGATGTATGGCAAACCCCATTCAGCCATCACTTCGATCGTGGCGAAAGGAAAGGAAATAAAGTGTGCTGTTGTTGCAAAAGGGGTGGATATGCTGACAAAAAGGAGATCACAAATCCTCGAAGAAGTGGAGAGGTTATTGTTGGTGTGGATTACCGAAAAACAGTTAGCAGGAGATAGTGTTACGCAGTCGATAATATGTGAAAAGGCAAGGCAGTTGCATGACAATCTCGTAAAAAAAATACCTGCAACAAGTGGTGATGCTTGTGATTTTAAGGCCAGCAAAGGTTGGTTTGAGAGATTTAAGAAGTGTAGTGGCATTCACAGTGTGATAAGGCATGGTGAGGCTGCCAGTTCTGACAAAATTGCAGCTGAGAAGTTTGTACAGGAATTTAAGGAGTGCATAGACACTGGAGAATTCAAACCCCAACAAGTGTTTAATTGTGACGAAACAGGCCTCTTCTGGAATAAAATGCCAAAGAGGACCTACATCACGCAGGAGGAAGCAGCACTCCCAGGACACAAGCCTATGAAGGATAGGCTTACTTTCATGTTTTGTAGTAATGCCAGAGTGTTCAAGAAATACAGTGTCGCCAAGAGTAATTTGTGTGTGATGTGGAAGGCTAACAGTAAGGCATGGGTCACAAGGGATATTTTCCTAGACTGGTTTAATGAAGTGTTTGGCCCCATTGTGAAGAAGTACCTCCTGGAAAATAAACTGTCACTCAAGTGCCTCCTGGTAATGGACAGTACTCCTGCTCATCCTCCAGACTTGGAAGAGCAAATAGTGGAGGAGTTTAGTTTCATCACAGTGAAGTTCTTGCCCCCTAATACAACTCCTCTCCTCCAGCCCATGGACCAGCAGGTCATTTCAAACTTCAAAAAAAAACTACACAAAAGCAGTGTTTCAGAAGTTCTTTGAAGTGACCTCAGACACTGAATTGACCCTAAGAGAGTTCTGGATAGATCACTTTAATATCCTCCATTGCATAAACCTTATAGGTAAGTCTTGGGAGGGAGTGACTTCCAGGACTTTGAACTCTGCTTGAGAAATTTTGTGGCCAGATTGTGTAGAAGACGGATTTTGAAGGGTTTGTGGCTGACCCTAAGGAGCCTATGCCAGTTGTGGAAACTATTGTGGCATTGGGGATGTCCCTGGGGTTGGAGGTGAGTGGTGAGGATGTGGAAGAGTTGGTGGAGAACCACAGGGAAGAGCTAACCACTGAAGAGCTGCAAGAGCTTCATCTGCAACAGCAACAGATCACAGCTCAGGAAACTGCTGCAGAGGAGGAGGAAGAGAGATGGAGGAAGGTGCCTTCTTCAAAGATTAAGGACATTTGTGCAAAGTGGACTGAAGTGCAAACATTTATGGATGAACTTCACCCTAACAAAGCTGTTGCAGGCCGTATTGGCAACATGTACAATGACAGTGTTGTGTCCCACTTCAGACAAATCTTAAAGAAATGCCAGAAACAGACCTCTCTGGACAGATATTTTGTGCAACAGGGGTCCAGTGACTCTCAAGTTGTTCCCAGTGGCATTAAAAGAAGAAGGGAAGTAATCCCAAATAAGGACTTCATACCTGAAGTCCAAATGGAAGGAGATTCTCCTTCCAAAAACTAGTGTACACCTTCCTCCTATCCCCTCCTCCCGTCTTCCATCCACGCAGAAGTCTTCAGTAAAGGTAAGTATAATGTTATTATTTTTTTAAATGCTTGTACTTCATTTCTGATTGTTTTCATTATGTAAATCTTTATTTAATTTGAAAAAAAAAAAATTTTATTTTAATATTTTTGGGTGTCTGGAACGGATTAATTTTATTTCCATTATTTCTTATGGGGAAAATGGTTTCGAGTTTTGTGAATTTTGACCTTCGGCAGGCTCTCTGGAACGGATTAATCACGAAACTCAGGGGGTCCATTGTATATGGAATAGGTGGTAAGTTACTAAATGCTGTCAAGAGTTTTTATGAGGATAGTGAGGCTCAGGTTAGGCCATGTAGAAGAGAGGGAGACTACTTCCCGGTAAAAGTAGGCCTTTGACAAGGAGAATGGATCAAAGTAGAATGACATAGAGGGCATATAAATCTGTAGGGGAAGAAAGACGGGGTAGGGGTTGTCCTCGAAAAGGTTGGAGGGAGGGGGTAAAGGAGGTTTTGTGGGCGAGGGGCTTGGACTTCCAGCAAGCGTGCATGAATGTGTTAGATAGGAGTGAATGGAGACAAATGGTATTTGGGACCTGACGAGCTGTTGGAGTGTGAGCAGGGTAATATTTAGTGAAAGGATTCAGGGAAACTGGTTATTTTTATAAAGCCAGACTTGAGTCCTGGAAATGGGAAGTACAATGCCTGCACTTTGAAGGAGGGGTTTGGGATATTGGCAGTTTGGAGGGATATGTTGTGTATCTTTATATGTATATACTTCTAAACTGTTGTATTCTTAGCACCTTTGCAAAAATAGTGATTATGTGTGAGTGAGATAAAAGTGTTGAATGATGATGAAAGTATTTTCTTTTTGGGGATTTTCTTTCTTTTTTGGGTCACCCTGCCTTGGTGGGAGATGACTGACTTGTTAAAAAAAAAAAAAAATGGGTACAGGTACATATTGAGTTACACAAATAGTAACATGTGTAAATTACCTAGGATAACCCAGAAATGTCAGTCAAGTGACTTATTTCCATTGGGTCCTTGATTTTCATTGGGGTTCTTCGATTTCTATTGTTTGTCTTTGTGTACTGAATGGTTCTTCAGTTTTCTCGTGCTTAGCAGTATTTTTGTCTTTAAATGTCATTCACTTTAGCTGCAGTTGAACATGTGTAGAACACTACCACTCGTATGAGTCATACAGTACTACAGTATGTGAACTGGATCTAACTGGCCATGTTCTCTTTCTGCTCACTGTCTCGATGCATACAAGTTGGTGTGGCTGCAGCTAGGACTGCATATTGATTTGTGATGGTTTTTCCATGCAATTTAAAAATATTTTGTTTGTAAGTTTATTGATTTTACTGTTTAATATGAGTACATTTGTACTGCAACACAGCCTAACAAACCTTCACTGTTTAAATAGCAGCTTTTTTGTAAAACTGCCATATACTGCAATTTTACTTTTGCTTTTTATATCTGATAATGTTC